ACAGCCGCGCGGAGGCGGCCGCTCTTGGCACCGTATCGGAGGAGGAAGGTCTGCCAGAAGTTCGCATCGCCACCGGGGTGCTTAGGGGTGTGTGAGTGATGTGAGGGGTGCATCCATCTGTGAATGCATTGGAATAGTGTCCTGGGCCTTGAGGTGGATGAGGATGGGGCGGCTGGTGAGCGGGAGCACGAGCATCACCACAAGAGCAAGAACAAGACGGACAGAGACTCAGGTCATCCCGACGGCTGGAAGAGGCTGTTCAAAGAGGAGCTCAAAGTCAAGCCAATCAACGGCACAGAGAACGTCTCGCGTACGTCACGTGCGAACCACACACACCACACACAGACACACACACACACACAGAGCGACCAATTTGTTGTGTCCATGCCCGCCTGCAATGCAGCCAAGCCGTCGCCGGGCCCGGTGGCCATCATCAACAGCCTCGACCTGGAGAACTCCATCAGGATGTTTGGCATTCTCGCCACTCCACCCGACCCAGTTGGCGCCGTCGGGCCAAAAAGCATCCTCACCGCAACCAACACCGGACTCGTCTTGCAGGAACCCAAAAACGGCAAACTGGTCAGTCAGTCAGTCAGTCGGCCCTTGTGGATGGATGGATACGGATGCTTGGCTTGCTTGGTGTGTGTATGGTATGTCCTCCCTCTCTCAGATAGCCGCTGAGCGTCCGCGTGAGTTTTTCCTGCCGGTGACAGTGGGTGACGGCCGCAAGTTCCCTCTTGACGTGCCGGGCGAGTTGGAGGAGGTGGCCATCTTCTTCTCGCCCGTCGCGCAGTTCGACCCCAACAGTGGCCACTTCTTTGTTGGCTACCTCTTCAACCAGTGCGAGCAGGTCATCGCCGTCTCCAAAACCAGTGAGCCCAAGTCTTTCACGCCAAAGGACTGGCTCATTGCACGATTCCCGGTGAGTGAGCATCCAGAACGCTGGCAGGCAGGCAGGCAGGCAGGGATGTTTGTGCGTTGTGTTTATGTCTGTGGTCACTCAGATTGACGATCGGGAGCCGAGCACGATTTTCGAGGGCGCGCTAGCGGCCTTCGATCCGCCGGTCAACCGCACCATAACCGGTGCGATCCTCTCCCAGGTGCTGGCGGAAGTGTTTGGGCTCGGCCCCGACTCTGGCGAGTGCAAGCCAACCTTCTTCCTCTCTCACAACTCGCTCGGGGTCTCGTCAACACTCGTGGGATTCGCCTACAACGCATTCGCCTCTTTCGGTAGGCAGGGACACAACGACGAAACGCACCCCGACCACATGCGTGTGTGTGAGTGCGCTCTCTCTCTCTCTATGTGTGTGTGCGTGCGTGTGTATGTATGTATGTGTCACAGACCCGAGTCTGCTGATAGGCAGCCGCAGCATCTTTTTCGCGTTCGACAACGTGGAGTCGGTAGAAGATTTCGAGGCCTTCTTCGCTCCGTAAGCTCACTCACTCATCCAGCGGAGGGGATGTATAGAGCAGAGCAGAACAGCCATCGTGTCTTGTCGTGTCATGTGGTGTGTTGTCTGTCTTCCGGTCAGGGGCGAGGCGACCCCAGCCGACATCCTGACGCCAGGGATAACGGAGCCAGGCCCCCTCGAGCTGGAGGACCTCTTCGACGCATCTATTGAGATTGTCGACAGCATTGGCTCTCTCTCACTGGTCCCATATGTGCAAGCCCCTGAGGATGAGGAGGTGCTGCTGGGACCAGTCGGCTCCGACCTGTTCGCCAGTTTTGACACTTCGGCCGATGAGGAGGAGGATGGTGGCGTGTCGCTGCTGCAGCAGGCCGCGTCAGACCTGGCGGGGTCTTTTCTCTACGGCTTCACCAACAGAGGACCGGGTATGGGACGGCGACAGACAGACAGACCCGCTGCATACATCCTCCGTCTCGTGTTATGTCTGCCCCACCAACAGGAACATCTGGTGCGCAGCTCAACACGCCTCTGAACGGCATCTTCACACCCCTCGCGGCCTTCAGCCGGAGAACTTTCTCAACAGCAGCGACATAGCGCGGGAGGCCGCCTTCAGGCGCATCGCAGACCCAAACGAGACCTTTGGGCTCGAGGATTCCATCGCCACAGAATTCGACGCATTCGACGGCCTACAGACGCTGTTCGTGCTCAAGCAGCTGCTGCTGACCTCTCTGCAGAGCGGGATTATCACTCTGGGGCGCAACACATACTTCCCAGTAGGCACACAGCGAGCATGGTTGTAGCTACTGGGAATGCGATTCAGCCCGCCGGTCATGCGATGCGATGCGTTGTGTGTGCATTTCAGTCGGTAGAGTTTGACGAGCCTGACGAGGATATGGCGGGCAGCCAACTGGGGGGCTTCCAAATAAACCTAGGTGATGACATCCTCCAGGTACGTACCTACCTCCAGACAGACAGACAGACAGACTGCCTGGTCAATCCGATTGACACACCCGCAGAAACAGGCAGTGCAGTGCACTCAGTGTGGATGGCATGGCATGTCATGTCATGTCATGTGTGTGACTCGCTCGGGCTGGGTAGGCCTGCCGTCAGACTGAGAAGCTGATTGTGTGCGCGTGGACGGGGTTCAGGACCATCAAAGACGCGAGCCTCGGTACGTTTGTACGCGCGTAGGTGAGATACGCAGACGCACGTGTACGTGCAGCTGTGCTCATGTGTGTTGATTGATAATCATTATATATAGACAAGCGTTGTCAGCAGGCCTTCATAGCGTACGCGCAGCTGGACGTCTTCACCCTCTTCTCCCGTGCCTTTGACGCCCTCGTGCCGCCCCCGCCACAGACATCACTCACACCCATCGTCGTCCCGTCACGGCTCACACGAGCCATACTGGTTCGTATGCACATGTATGATACATACGTGTGGGAAAAGGTCTCATGCATCTCCCTGTCTCTCTGTGTTGTGTTGTGTGCTGCCGCCCAAGGGGTGGGACTTTGCCTTTCCGTCGGTGGCAGCGACGCCCCAGGGGGATGTGCTGGTCGGCTTCCAGGCGTTCGACAGGGCGGGCTTCCCCTCAGCCGCCTACGTCTTTAAGCCAGCCGACTGTCCCGACTTTGACCTGCCCGTCATCTACAAGGTAGCATATGGGAGCCAGGCAGGGTGTGTTGTGTGTAAATTGGTGTGGTGCACACAACCAGGCAGGGGAGGCGCCGTACTTCCGTCCAACGCAGCAGGAGGAGAAGACCGACAAACCCCGGGTGTCATCCTGGTTTGAAAAGAGCATGGCCATGCATGGATGTCAAGAACGCGCCAGTCCATGTGTGTGTCTTTCCATCCGTCTATTTATCTGTCCTAAGGGGGTTCGGTTCGTCCACTGTCAACGATATACTCGACCCCCAGTGCCTCTGGACAGTCCAGGCAAGCCCCTCCCCCCCACCTCCTCTGCACCAGAGAGGGACGCCACGAGCGTGTGTCCATTTCTGTCTGTCTGTCTGTCTTGCTGTCTGTCTTGCTGTGTGTGTGCTGGTCCTCTATGTCAGCCGTACGCCAAAGTGCCGGGTCCTCTGACGAATGGCGTCTTACTTCCGCCGGGATTCGGCAACTGGGGGCTCGCATGGGCCAAGGTACGCTTGGCGGGAGGGAGGCTCAATGGATGGATGGATGGATGCTTTCGGTGATCGGCCGATCGGTGTGTGGGTGGATGGGATGGCCACATCGCCTTCATCTCATCTGTCTCTCTCAGGTGTGCGTGCCCCTGGGTGCTTTCGTGCGCGGCGTCGCCTGAAGCGCCAGGAGGCCATCAGACGGAGAAGGCGGCTCAAACGAGCTGCTAACCAAAGGAACACCGACAAAGCCAAAGGCAAGAAGACCAACGGAGAGAAGACCGGCAGCAGCAGGGCAGCGGCAGCCCCGGCAAAGAAGAGAAAGAAGGTGGTCAAGAGGTCGGCCGGGAGTGTGGACCACCCACCGTTAGACAGCGATGAGTGGTTGGCGGCCCAGTTTGCGAGGCTGCTGGGTGGGCAGAATAGGCGGCTGGGGCTGCAGGCCGTGTTGGGTAACAAGAGGGCGGGCCAGATAGAAGAGTTCCTGCAGCGAAGGGACATGTAGACGTGCAGCTAGATGAGATGTTCCTGCGGCGTGGCGGTCATCGCTTGTGTGTGGACCACAGCCAGCTGAATCCTTCTCTCACTTCGATTGATTTGATTGGAGTAGGCCATCTGTCTGTCTGTCTGTCTGTATTTGTCTGTCTGCGCATTGTGTATCTGTTCTGTATGTGTCTATCGGCCATGATCAGATCAGTGTGTCTGTCTGGCTTATTGTCGGTCATAACTAAATAGCTAGGTCGTTGTTTGGTCAGATGAGTAAATAGAAATGGAGAGAGACATGTGATGTGTGTGTGTGTGTGTGTGAGTGGGTGCGTATGTGCACGTCTGTCTGTCTACTCGGTTTATTCGTCTGCTCGGTGGGCTCGTCAGTTGTGCATGTGAGTGTGTATGAGAGAGGAAGACGCTTACTGAGGCATACACACGTGGCCGACGAATGTCTCAAATAACCAACACACACGGGGGAAATCTATGACACCTATGACCGATGTTCGTCGCAAACAAGTAGAAAGCCCAGCGAATCCCTTCCCGTCTAGCGCTGGTGGACGACGTGTAGGAAGACACGAAAGGGCCCCATTGCCGACTGACATTGCCCTCCATTACACACATGTGAAATGTGAAGTGCGTGAGAAGAAAAGAACACGGTCGATAAACACAATGGGCACGCCGCACCGCACAGGCTGTGCAGGGCCTGACCTACCTATCACACCACACCCATCACTGTCTGTCTGTCTGTCTGTCTGTCTGCACAAGTACTTGAAGCATCGCCTGACCTGACCTTGTCCACGTATGTGGACGTAATGTATTTACTCTACAACACAGCACAGCACAGCACCCCTATCTGTCTGTCTGTCTATGACCCCACCCACACCCACTGCTCATCCTTCATCTCCTCACTGGCCTTTTCCACCCCCTTGGCACCCTCACCCTGCTCCTCAATCAGCTCCTCCAAATGGTCCTCACCCACCGGCCATATCTGCACCTGAACCGCCTCGCGACGGCTCGGCAGCGGACGACCCCCCCCACCCCCACCAGGTTTGTGCATCACATGTCGCATCAACCACCGCCAAGACGCCTTGCACACCCGAACTATGTAGCGCGGGATGCGCAGAAGGAAGCCCAGAACGTGTGGGCGTCTCTTGGCGGGCTGCGACGGCTCTTCCGTCTCGACAAAGAGCTCGTCACTCTCGGACAAGGTGAGAGTGAAGCGCTCGAGCCGCTCAGTGCGCCGCTTCGACTTGGTCTTTGTGACGGGTTTGGAGTAGATGAGCAGCAGGTTGGGGTCGTCGGTGCTCTCTTCAATGTGGATGGTGTGGGGTCGTCTTCGTGAGGGGTTCTTGTGGGTGCATGAGATGTGCAGGCCGCGCGGGTAGTGCAGCGGCCGGTTCACGTACACGATCGTCGGGTGAGACGACTGAATCGAATGGTCTGAATGAACCGACAAACAAACAAACAAACAAACAAACAAGGGGGACAGGACAGGCAGGGGGGCAGGCAATGCGCATGGCCGCATGCATAGACACCACACCCATGGGTTGGGTGTGGACTGACTGGGGTGGTCACTGAAGCTCACCTGGGAACCAGGTGAAGGTGAAGTGGCCGTTGACCGGACTGAAGTGGTAACTGGAGATCTCCTGAACCAACCACGTGTACACACGCCAATGTGTGCGTATCCATCTGACTTCATAGACCCCCCCTCTCTCTCTGTCCGCCTCACTCACTCACTCACTCAGTCACTCACTCACCCCGGCCGTGCGCATGGGATATGTGCGTGAGAGGTATTTCAGTTTGAGCTCCTCCAGCTGCCCGCGCTCGTCGTAGAAGCCCTGGCGGCTCTCTTGGGTTGTGAAGTCATTGAAGTACTTATATGCCTACGTCCAGATGGCCATCGATCGCCGTCATCCGTACTTATGTGTGAGAGCGTTTTTGTGTTGGTTCACCCACCCAGTATGCCCAGGACATCCCACGCTCGTCGGCCATGTCTAGCAGAGGCGACACCATCTCCAGTGCAGCGGCCGTCCCGCGGACGGCACCAAACTCTGTCTGCAAGACACACACACACACACACAGAGGCATGATTGTGTCTGTCTGTCTGTCCCTTGCTCGCTCCCTCACCATGAATCCCGCGCTGAGTCCCTTGCCGGTGGCTTTGTAACCGATCTTCTTGAGGTCCTGCTCCACGCCATCGACCAAGATGTCCTGAAGTGAATGAATGAGACAAAGGAACAAACTGATGAGTCAGTCCATCACCACGTGGATTGGCAATAGTCAGATAGATGTACACACCGACCCAGGCAAGGTCGCAGGCGAACTGCTGGAACCGGCTGGGGGAGTCACCCGACGGCAGGCAATACACATGAAACGCATAACTGGACCCGACATCCTGACAACAACACGAGGAAAGAGACACACACACGGGGCAAGAGGGTGCTTTGTTTGTCTGTGGATTTATGGATTTATGTGTGTGTGGCGCACGTCGTCGGTCAGGTTGAGAGGATTTTTCTCAAAGCCACAGTGAATGGAGCTGATGAACTTCTCAAACATGAGAATGTGGGCCCCATCCTCCTCACGCACGGCCCTGGCTGCGTGTTGGTAGAGCGGGGTCAGATGCAGGCGGTCAGCACGGGCGGCGTCGTAGACAAGCCATGGATGCTCGTACACCGACCCGCCCCAGGGCTCGTTGATCAGCTCATACGCCAGCACACCCGGCTCGTCCTTGAGTGCACGGGCGATCTGCCGCCAGAACGATGCGAAAGAGTCTCGGATGCCCGAGCGGTTGTCGTAGAGGGCCTGGAAGAAGGTGTTGACCTGCACAGATGCACAAACCACACAAACACACACGTGTGATGGATTGATGACACACGCGGATGGTCTGTCTCTACCCGTGATACCTACTTGATAGGTCAGATAGTATAAAAAAAATGGCCGCGACAGGCATTGTTCCATGGATGGCAGATCGGCCGGGTGGTCGTACGGCCGACCTATGGGCTCCGGAAAGCGTGGGAGGCCCTGGAAGATGCCCTCTGCGTGCAGCTGGGTGTAGACGTGCGACGGGAAGCCCTCGCCGCACATCTGCGGCAAGGCCAGATCTACAGCAGAGCAGAGCCACTTGTATGGTAGGCATCCACTTGCCATCTCTCTGTGTGTGGTTTGCTGCATGGCATGGCCCCCCCCACCTTGGTGCACATCGATGATGGTGTGGATGCCATGTGCGGCCAGCTCCCGCACGAGAGCCTTCACTTGCGACAGGTACGTCGTGTTGTAGTCACCCAGCGATGGCTCAATGCCTGCTCACACAGACAGACAGACAGACAGACAGACAGACATCGATGTGGCTGCCCCTTTCTCTGTGTGTGTGTCGGTTCGGTGCGCTCTCCCACTCTACTCGCCCACCTGGCCACATGGCCCCCAGCCTGATGACATTGAAGCCCCACTGTTTGAGCTTGTCGATATCATCGCGCCCGAATGACAGCTGCGCGTCGAATGGCTCGTAGGGCGGCAGCCAGGGAGGCTCCTTGAAGACCACATTCACGCCATGGAAAATCACTGAAGGAAACGTACAAACACCACCGCGCAGAACGGCATGTGTGTGAATCCATTATCACTCAGATCCATCAGATAGGTCCATGCATTCATTCATTCCTGCACTGTGCCGCCTGGCTGGCTGGCTGGATGCGATGCATGTGATTCACCAGTGCGATTGGCAGCATCCACGTAGCGGCCTCGGTCTTGCTGACTGTGGAGGCGGATCCAGTCAACTGATGCATCTGCAATCGGGTGAGAGGCCGAAAAGATCGCCAAGATGAGGAGGGTGGCGATGAGAAGCCTTCTCATAGGTGCGATAACACACTGCAACGACGCCTTGAAGCTCGCAAGGGTCCAGGGTTTCGCAAACCCTGCCCCCTCCAATACTTGTAGGACCATGTCGACGACTGTGCTTCGTCGTGTGGCGCTGCCGTCGAATCTGCGTGTGTATGAGCTGGAGAAGTTCTACAGGCGGAGCCCCGTCACGCAGCCGGGGCAGTTGGTGGACCTCTCACACAAGCAAAAGTCACTCACTGAGGCGCTCGCATCATGCGCCGTCAAGGCCGACTTCCTGCAGGTGCCTACGCGTGGCATCAAGACAGGCAGCCAACATGCTCATTATCTCATCTGCTGTGCTGTGTGTGCGCGTGTCCAGGTTGACACATTGAAGGGTGTGGTGGTGAACACCAAGCTGACGTCCAAGCATGTAGATCCGCACTTCGCCAGCTACCTCCAGGACCTACTTGCAGCACATGGCGCTAAGTGAAGTGAATGAAGATGACGATACGAAGAGGGAGAAGGAAGCGGTTGACAGCTGGTCGGTCTCGTGCTTTGTTTCTTGTCCGTTTTGAGTGAGTGCAGCAATGTCTGACGGCTGCATGAGTGTGCGAGACCCGTGGATGAGTGATTGCGTTGCGTTGAACTGCTCCATGATTCATGCTCACATACACAGATCATTCAAATGATGGTGTCTTGTCACACACACATACACACATGCACGCACCCGTTGGTTCACTGACAGCTATCCGATCCGGCTATGAATGATCCGATCCGTGTGCAACCAACGGTCACATCACATCCACCGCACCGCAGCCACACCACTCGACAGCCACGCACCGCACATCACATGATACGGGTGCCGAAACACACACACACACCACACACGGCGCTCGCTCGCTCGTGACGTGGCCGGCGGCACAGGGAAGTGAGGTGAGGTGAGGTGAGGTGGCGGAGATGAGGCCGTTTGTTGGCTGTTTGGTTTGTTGGTTGGTTTACTTCTTCTTCTTTCCTCCTGTGACCTTGGACTTCTCCTTGCCGCGGACCTTCTTCTTTCTGTTCTTGAGCTCCTTCTTGGCGCGACGACCGCCACGCTCGACCTTGGGCTCGATACCAAACTAACAAGACACACAGACACCACCAACGGCAGGCACACATCACCCAGCCGTCACCCCATATATGGATGGCTATGCTATACGTCTCATCTGTGTCGTGTGTGCGACGTGTGTGTTGGCGTACCCGGACGAGTCTGTACTTCTGTTCGTATTTCTTGACGGCGGCGATGTTGTTGTAGATGAGTCCGAATCCGGTGGACCTCCCCCCGCCGAAGGCGGTCTTGAAGCCGAAGAGGATGACGCACTGGGGGTCCTTGATGTTGAGCTTGCTGTCCTTGGCAATCCGCTCACGCAGGTCGTTCTTGGACACGTTCGGACGGTTCGGGTGAATCACATCCACACACTGCAGGCAGCCAGGGACACACAAACAGCACACACAAAAAGCAAGAGACGAATACAGAAGGAAGGTGGGGGATGCAGACAGACAGGCAGGCGTGTGCGTGTGTGATCCTCTCTCTCTCTGTCTGATCTATAGCACTGCGGTACGTACGAAAGGTGCCCTTCGCTACCCTTGCCTGCCTCACCCACAGATCTCTGCCCCACCCTCTGATCGTCCTCTCTCTTCCGCCCTCCCGCCTCCGCCTCTCCTCCTCTGGCCTGTCTGCGTGTCGTGCGTCGTGCTGTGCCTCAACGGAGTGCCTTGTGCTTACGAATTGCTTTCTCTGGAGGAGCGGGTTGTCCATAAACCGCCGAATCCGCAGATTGAAGCTCTCGCCCGACATGGTGGACCGTCACACGGTAGCTCACAGGCCACAAGGACGCCAATGCGCTGCGAGTGGGTGCGAGCTAATTCAGCAAGCTCGCAGACGAAATGCAAGCTCGCAGATTGTGCCGTGTCGTTAAGGTCGAGAGCGTTGAGTGGTGTGCGTGCGTGTAGCGCGTGAGCGTGTGCAGCGTCCAAGATGGTGAATCTGATGAACACTCACCCGTCCGGCTATGGACAGGGATCTCGGCGATGGTGAGGGCCGGACGGGAGCGGACGGGACGGGAGGACAGACAGATCACACCGAGGGAGGCAAGGAGGGAGGCAAGGAGGGAGGGAGGCAGGGGAAGCCAACGGACACGACACAGCACCACAGACAGACAGACAGTCGTGAGACACGCCGCTCCCACTTGACGTGTGTTTGTCCTTTGTGTCTGTCTGTGTTCCCCCCTCTCGCTATATCAGCCGTGTGTGCAACAACCGACACGCCCTCATCCGCAAGTACAAGATCGACATCTGCCGGCAGTGCTTCCGCGAAAGGGCCACACAAATCGGATTCCAGAAGGTACGCACGCATCTGATCTGATCGACAAACCGAACCAACCGAGCCGACACACTCTCGGGAGTGCGTCTGTCTGTTTGTTGTGTGCTTAGTATCGGTGATCGGCGCAATGTCAATGTGGTGGAGGGTCAGTTGTGATGACACGTGTGTGGAGTGGATGGATGGACCATGAGAGCAGCCTTGCTATGCTGCCCGTGGACGGACGCTCAGCACGTTTGTTTCAAACATGGTCTATGCGCGATTGTGTTATGTGATGTGATTGATGTGAGTGACACCCTTGTGAGAGTGTGACACTCTCTCTGTGAGTGTGACGTTGTGTAAATGAATCCAGGCGTATGTCTGCTGCCCAGCCCGTGTGTGCATTGCATTGATTGCATTCACTCATCCATCGGCCAACCACGCAGGCAGCTGATATTGATATAAACATCCCCCATTGATTGACACACACACGGCCGAGGCCCATTACGCACGCCGCGCCACGCGACTCTGCACCACACGCGTCACAACACACGACAGGTCATGCCACGCTTGCCCGAAGCAACTGACTACTGCGCTGTGCTCAAAATAGAGAGCATCGCATCAATCCATCAAGAGAGAGAGAGAGAGAGGGAGGGAGGGAGAGGGACGCAATAGGGGAGTACACGGTGGCCTGGCCCAGCCCCACTCACTATAGAACTTCTGACCACCTTTCCTCGGTCATTCACCCTCACCACTACGCAACACAACAAGTTTGTACGAAAGGGCAAGGGAAACGCCGCACACACACACATAGGGATCGAGAAACGACACACACCAAAGAAAGCGGCGCTGGATGGAAAAAAACAAGAAACACACATACACAACACATGACAGCCATCGACCCACCCAGCCATCCCTCTTACACACATAGGGAGAGAGAGCTACCAGATGACCGTTGTGAGCGACCAGTCCGGCACGCCCACCCCCTTCCACCACGACCACAGCCCATCCTTCCTACCCTCGCCACCGTGATGGCCCCCGCCAGGTGGCCTCGTGTGGGCCACCGGCTCGGCCACGTCGATCCACTCACTGATGGATGGGTGCTGGCTGTCGTGTGCGTGTGTAGGGTGTGTGCGGTGTGAGGGGAGGTCGAGCACCTCCATGTCGTCGGGCGGCATGTCCGACATGCACCGCACGGGAGAGGGGTCGGTGCAGGGGGAGGGGGGGAGGGAGTGGCTGGAGGACGCACTGACACACACACATGACCGCACACACGAGGGGAGAGTGATGCGTCATGATAGATGAGTATCTGTCCGTGTCTCTGTCTGTGCGGTGAATGTTTGGGAGCTCACTGTGGCCGTTGTGCCGACGCTCTGCGCAGGATGCTGCCATCGAGGAACGACAGGAACTCCAAAAACTCCCTTCACACATACACACACACACGAACGAGACACACACATCATCGACGAGCCGACCTTCCCCCACATCATCGACGAGCCGACCTTCCCCCAACTCTCTCTCTCTCTGTCCCCCAGCAGGCACCTGAAGTCGGCGACATCTTTGAAGTAGAATGCGAGTGCCAGGCCTGGGTTGAGTTCCCTGGCGTGCATCTTGAGTGGCGGGGCCGAGTAGAGGGCCTCCCTGGCCTCAGACACCCGCGTGACGGCCGGTTTGACGCCATGCGGGTCGAGGTAGAACAGGGAGTCGCCCTGCCGACCAACGATGTAGTAGGCCTGACGCGCACGGCCGCCCAACATGCCCACCGACCACCTGCATAGCATACAACACACACACACAAACACACACACAGACAGACAGACAGGTGCCCTTGTGTCTGTCTGTGGGCGAGGGCGGACTGTAGGCGGTGATTAATGACCTGCATGCGACGAGCTTGAGGAGGTCGGGGAGGAACTTCTCCTCGATTTTCGAGGAGCCCGTCACACGCGGCACCAGCAGCACTAGCCCTCTCTCACCATCACCATTCTCGCCATTGTCGCTATCGCCGTCCACGGGCTCGCCCACCGCCTCCCACCCGCCGTTGCCATCGGTGCCGTCATCGGTGCCCATACACTCGTCCATGAGGGCCTTGTCGTCCAACACACCACAGTCAGCTACATGCGCCAACAGACTCGCCTGCACACACACACACAGTCAGACAGACAGACAGACAGACGTGTGTTGGGTGGGGTGGCGTGGGGTGGGATGGGGAGGGACTCTGTGTGCGTACGCTGATGGGTGGTCTCTGGAGGCACTCTACGATCATGCCGCAGACCTGTGCTGTAGTGAACCAGCACCCAGGGTTCCAGGGCGGGAAACGATACCTCGACCGACTGCTGCCGCTGCCGCTAGTGCTCGAAGACGACGACTGGAAATGCGATGGATCGCTGCTACGAACTGATTGATACATACACACACCACAAAAGACAGACGACACACACGACACGATGATTGGATGGATGTCGCCTCGCCCTTCACTTTGGATGAATGGTGGTGGGGTGGGGTGGTCTCTTCTTACTGTTGAGTAGTGAGTAGATCGAGAGCGGTGCCTTTTGTTTGTCGGTGATGTCGAGGAACTTCTCCAGCAGCGATTTCTTGACCTTCTCGTGCTTGCCATGATGGGGGGTGGGCTGGGCCGCCGAAGCAGATGCATCGCTCGGATACGGTTCGCAACCCAGATGACGCCGCAACACCTGCAACCATGCATACACGACTTACACGTGGCCAATGGTCCTTTCTCTCCATCCCGTGTGTGTGTGTGTGTGTGTGTGTACCTGCATGATCATCATCTGTCCGCTCCGCACGGCGCACCCCCAGCCCACGTCGCTGGTGAGGACCTTCATGTGGTGCTCGGGCTCCACCTCGCACCGCAGCATCGGCGACAGGCCCGTGCGGTACGTGAAGTGCTCAATGTCACCAAACAAACGGCGAAACGAACGCTCCTCTAGATGGTCCGACGACAGACAGCTGAGGAAACGGAGCACACAATATATGTGCTGGTCTGTCTGTCTGTCTGTCTGTGCGTGTGTGTGTGGGCCCTACTTGCCAAGCAGGTAGACCTGTCCTGACTGGGAGCCTGTTTTGGGGAGGTGGTGCGGCAGGGCGTGGGCGAGAGCCTCGCGGTATGCGCCATTGAGCCGGTGCAGCAAGTGCTTCAGATCCGAGTGCTGAGTCACCACACGAGGAGACGAACCCTGTGTGACCACACCACATGACACACACGAGCACGGCAGCGTGGCCTTCACTCACTCGTCGGTCTTTCTGCAGTCTGGACGGCCGACCTGTGGTTTGTTGCTACTGCCGGTGAGGCTCCTTAGCAGTCCGATGCCCATCCCCTCCTCACCCTCACCGTTGCCCTCCGTCGCCCCAGATGCCGATGCAGCTGCGGATGTGCCGCCGACCCACTGGCCGGCCTGCATGTTCCACAGCATCCGCAGCGCACCCGCGCCAGACACGAAACTACCCCCACTGCCACTTCTGCCACCGACGCTCTCTGCTGCTGCTGCTGGAGGAGCATCGCTGGCTGCCGGCTGTTGGTGGTCGTTGTCACATCCCTCATGGTCGTCGAGGAATGAGTATGAATGGTCATTGGGCGAGGGGAGGGGCGGTGGGGGCGGGGGCGGTGGTTGCTGTGGTTGCTGTGGCTGCTGTGCTGGTGGCTGTGGCTGTGGCTGTGGCTGTGGCTGTGGTTGTGGTTCCAGGTGCTCGAATTCTTCGATGGATGAGGAGATGATGGCCGAGCTCCACATGGCCGCCGACGAGAACTCCATATTGCCACAGCTGTCACTCTCATTGAGTGCCGATGGCTTGCCCAGGTCCTCATAGCTCCGCGACAAGTCACGCCGACGCAAGAACTGCTCCCTCAGCGCCGCGGCAGTAGCGGCACTCGTGCTCTCCTGGCCGCCGACGCCCTCTCCCTCTGCCTCAGCCGGGCCGTCGCGCTGCTGCTGCCGATCCGCCTGCGCCGAGGAATCGCTCTCCAGCGCATCGCAGATCTCAAAGGTGTCCACAGGTGAGCTCTCGGGGTCGGTCGTCGGACTGGGAGAGGGAGAGGGGTCGATAGGAGGGGCGGGGGGAGGGGGAGGCGCGACGCACTCGTCAGGCTGCGCTGGCTGCGCAGGGATGTGTGCAGGGTGCTCCACGAGCGACGCCACGCCGGTCTCTGGCTGCATCTTGACCGTCAGCATAGACGTCGGCATGACTGAGCAGTGCGTGGATGTCGCGCTTGACAGAGATGGCGGCCTGCGGCTCTCTGAGCAAGCAGCACCCTTGTGCCGATGCTCAGGCAGCTGTTTCCGCCATGAGGAGAACGCGGGACAACTGCGAGCTTGGGAGTGAGGAAAGAGATGACGAGATGGCTGGATCTGAGCTGCTGGCTGCTGTAGAGGAGCTGGTGGGCTGCTATGCGGGCCATCCGAGAGGTAGGTGCATCGAATCTGCATCAGCAAAAGGGTGTGAATGAGCCAGAATGCATTGTCGGTTGTGTGTGTTGTGATGCCAGATGTGAGGAAGCGCGTGAGGGAGCTGGATGGCGAGAAAGGAGAGGAGCTGCTGCTGCTGCTTCTGGACAAACTCAGCACGTAACAGTCGCATCTGTCTGTCTGCAGAACTAATGCAGCATCCATGGTGCTGTGCTCTTTGTGCCTGCAGCGACATACGCGACGCCCGATCATTGGAATGGGTCAACTCGCTGCTGACATCGAAGATCTCACAGATGGATATCACTGGGCTGTCCGAGTCGTCGGCCACAGCTGACCCGCCACAAACGGAGGTACGGACTCACTGACTGCCTGATTGACACACACAGACAATTGCCTGTCCATAGCGGGACCGGTGTTGTGCATGGCCTGGGTGTGGTGTGTTGGTGTGTCTTCCTTTCTCTCAGGTTTTGCAGAGGTTGCACGAGCTCGTGAGTGACAGGGCCGAGAGCCAGCCGCAGGCACTCAGGTGAGTGAGTCATTTCGCTGGACTGGAGGGTCAATTCACACACAACAGCACCACAGAAACACGCTGTGCTGTGCTGTGCTGTGACTGTGGCTCCCTCCCTCCCTCCGATATTGCTCAGGCTGAAGGGGCGTCTGGCCAGCCTCGAGTCAGCCGTTCGTCTGAGGTTGAGGCTGCAGTCACAAGACAACCTCACGGGCAGCAACACACGGCCGGCCATGAATGAAATGCAAGACCAAGAACAAGACCAGCAGCAGCAGCGAGCTCTCCCTGCCGCTCCGCCTCGCTCTCGCCTTCCCCTCCCCCCTCCCCCGGCGGCACATCTGCGTCACCATCATCCACAGCAGGTGGTTGGTGCTGGCCGTCCCAAGGTGTTGAGCAAGAGGATCAGGAAGGCGTCGCCCATCAAGCCGAGGAGCGATGACGAGAAGACATCGGACTCGACCAGTGAGTGAGTGAATGAGTGACTGAACGATGGATGGATTGACGGATGGGTGGGTTGACTTCCGGCATGAATGTGAATACACACGAGTTGGATGGATGGATGGATGGAATGCCATGAGGAAAAAACTTGACTGACCACGTCCGTCAACGCACTCACCTGAGAGGTCTCACGTCAAGTCATGCACCAGGGGATGAAGGGAGAGAGAGGGAGAGGAACAAACAAGGGCAGCCGGACAGCCAGGCATCGAGTGTGTCCATCCATCCATCCATCCATCCATCTTTCCGCCCTAGGGAAAAGGCACATTGTGAGAGGCCTTAAACCGCACCGCACCGCACCGCACCGCACCCCGGCACACACAGCTAGGTCTAGGACAAAACCATACGCACCATCTACGCCAGCCGTCCATTCATTCATCATCGGCACGCGAAAAACACTCAAAAAGGTCGTTTGCCGCTATGCAAAGCACCTCTGCGTGTATGTGTTTTGTATATGTAGAAAAGCAATTGAGGCGATCGATAGCGCGGTGCGTACGGACAGTACAGACGACTCCGCCCTCACTAACGTACTCACTCATCCACTCATCCACTCATTTCAGTGATCGAATCGAGTGGTCTCACCTCAGCCGACAACTACTGAGCCACCCATACACCCAGCCGGCCACGCAGTCGCTGCTATGCTATGCACCAATGTTGCCTGCCTGTCACTTTTGTGAGAGTGGTGTGAATGTGAGTGACACGTATGGGTAGTACTCGCCGCCCTCCATCTCGTGACCCTCCGCACCACCAGCGCCACCTGGAGACACACACTCACACTCACACTCACGCACGCGCCACCATACCAGACAGGAAGTGTCTGTCTGGGTGTGGCTCACATGACTAAGTACGCACCTGCGTATGATTTGCCGAATGAGCCCGAGGAGGTGAAGAGTGTCTCGAGCTCCTGACGCAACCTCTTCTCGTTGCGGCCCGTCGGCTGCAGTCATTGCAATACACACAGATAAAGACACACCACGACAGACAGACATGCTTCATGTGATGTGCATTAGTCTGTGTGGTTTGTGTGGCGCACTGCAGGCCGTGTGTGTGTTGTGTTTACCATGAGAAAGAAGGCCGCGATCTTTGGTGGCAGACCGAACCGCAACACCGCCTCGACAAACACTCTGCATACACCAGTCCACGCACGGAGCGTCCCCGACACACGCATGTGTGCCTGCCTGCCTGCCTGCCTCTTAAAATAGGTAGGTACCTTATTGCCTTGAGGTGAACCCATGCAATGAAGACATCTGAGAAGTTCGCCTCACACACGCGCTTCAGAAACGACTGCACCAAGCAACCACACACACACACAGAGAGAGAGAGAGAGACGTCTGGTGTGACTGGTGGACGGGAGGATGCCTGAATGGAGTGTGCGCGTGTGTGCATCGCAATGGTGCGTGCCTCGTTTTTCTTGAGTTCTTGTTCGATGCGCGCCCGTTCGGTCTTGCGGTGGTTGTACGCCTCGACGGAATAGGTGAAGTCGCGCACTATAAACCTGACGCAAACAAACACACAGCACACGAACGAAGATGGCAAATGGAGAGGGACTGTGCGTGGCGGACTTTCCCCTCCCTCTCTCCCTCTCTTCACCCCTATATATTCACTTATTTACCTGTTTTGTCTGGCGGTCGACTTGAAGTCCTCGGCGCTCTTCTTCATGACGACAACACGCCACAGCGTGTTGCCCTCGCGATCCTCAGGCGGCAGCTTCCTGCACACACATTGGCCACCCACACACATACACATACACATGGATGGATGGATGGATCCCTCTTGCTGTGCCAAGTTGCCTCCTTTCGCGACTGACTGTGAAGATCTCGGCACGACGTGTTCGTCGAGGCCTTCGTACTTCTCCAGCCACTCCTTGTCCTGACCCCTGCAGGCACACACGCAGAGACGTACACACGTATCTTGATCTGATCTGATCTGATGTGTGTGCTGAGTGTGTTCGTTGATTGACAGACCTTGGCACGACGACCACGAGTGTGGTGAGGTACTCTGACTCGATAAAGTCGCTCTCCTTGACCACCTCGGGCGTCAACACGTCGATCAGGTCACGCTGCGACAGGTTGCCACTGATCGACACGCAAACACAACAACACACGGACACCAACAAACACACACACACGGTAGGTACCGTGAGTGTGCGGACATCGATCTCCATCCATCCATCCATCCATCTGTCTGTTCCTGATTCCTGAGTGCGCACCCCTCCTTCTTGGCGACTTGTGAGGCCTGTTGTTTGAGGTCGTTGAAGGCCGCAGACTTGAGACGCAGCTCCTCGTCTATCTTGCCCACAGACTGACAGACAGGGGGCGGGGCGGGGGGGAATCACATGCATCGCACACCACACCACACAGCCCGGGACACTTGTATGAGTGTGTGTGGGTCCCTCCTTGTCTCTCTCTGTCCATGTGGGTCGGTACTGCTAGTATGAGTTGGATGAGTTCGGTGACGTGTGTCTTCTTGGGGAACTTGGCCTCGTCCCACACAAAACGACGCAAATAGTCGTCAACAGTCGCTGATCACACACACACACACACACACGCGGACGCCACACACACACGTGTCACATAGATGGTATCCTCCCATCATTGCCGCGTACCAGTGGTTCGTTGTGCCATGATTTTGAATTGTGTGTTTGGGTCGATTTCGAGCAGCTGCCGCTCCACCCGCCTCAGGACGCTCTCCGCCATGGTGTCGTGCTTGGCCAACTCGTCCACCACCTTGATCAAACTATCAAACGTACCCACCTGCACAACCACAAAGAAACACACACAGAGAGACCCATGCACACACACATGCATTGCCCTGCCCTTGTGTTGTGTGCTGGCTGGCTCCTCTGTGTGTGTCTTTGTGTGTCTGCCCGGTGCCTTGCGTCACCTTGAGTGAGTCGGGGACGTCGAGGACGAAAAGGTCTGATGCGAGTTGTGGGACGATTCTGCTCTTGAGTACGCTGAAGATGGAGTCGCGGCTCTCATCCTTGGAACTGCACGCAACTATCCAAAACGACATCGGTCAAGTGGGAGGGACTCTGCTGATTGATGAGGAGGGAGAGGGACGGAGGATGGGTGAGGAGATGAGTTGGACGCCAGGGGCTCTTGGAAGGCCGCTGATCTGCAGGTGAGGCCGGTGATCTACAGCTCCACAGGCCCTCTGGAGCAACCCGATATCAGGCTCGCCTCGCAGGACATTCCGTGAAACTGCTGGTAGAAAGAGAAAGGAAAAGGTGTATGGCTGGCGCAGAGACGAGGGCCAAGGCTCTTGAGGCGCTCTCGGGTCTGTACTCGCGCTTTCAGCAGACTGCCGACGCACTCAAGGAGAGCACTGAGGCGGCTGCCGCCGTGAGTGAGAAGGACATGGGCAAGGCCAAGGACAAGGAGGAGGGTGGTGACAAGAAGGAGGCTGATGCTGACGCGGGTACTTACTGTACGGATGCATGTGAACTGTAGCTGGACGGTCTGCTGCATTTGTTTTGTCTACTCTGCTGGCTGAGTGGCTCCATTGAGTGTGTCAGGTCCTCCGAAGCGTCAGAAGGTGCGTGAGGCCGGCCTGGGGCTGGGCATAGGGCGTTTCGGGTTCAAGGAGCCCACCAAGGAGCAGGTACTTCATATGCACTGCACTTGCACGCAGACGGACGCATATATATATATCCTACATGTGATGTCATGTCATGTGTCCGTGTGTGTGTGTGTGATGTGTGTGTGGTTAGTTGCGCGAAATGTTGATCAAGGAGGAGAAGCTCCGTTGGCACCTGGTAAGGGATATCTAACTCCCCTTTCTTTCTTCATTTTTCAATTCTTCTCAATTTCTCTTCTCATTTTGCTTATGTCTGCGCACATTCTCTGTTCCTCTTTTTTCTCTGCCGCGGATTGAAAGGCCACGCACGAGCGCATGAAAAACGCCCGTGAGTGGCTCGATGTGGCAGAGGAAATCCAGATACAGGCAAGTGATGTGCAGCTGGGTGGGGGGGAGATGGCGCGAATGCACTTGTTTTGAGTCGCGTCGTGTGTGGGATGGATGGATGGATGGTTGGGTGAGGTGTGTGCAGATAGTGAACGAGTACGGGTACGTTGGCAAGGTGAACGAGTCCTACGCGGCGCACCTGCTGCGCACCGCCCACGTCAAGTACCCCGACCTCAAGAGCATCTCGGTCTACGCGCGGGAGAACATCGCTCGCGACGGAGAGCTCAAGGCAACCACCAACGAACCAACCAACCAACCAACGACCACACACACACACAGGAGATTTATGTGTGGTGGGTGTTTGGTGCAGGAGGGGCAGACAGCCCCGGATGTGCCTTTGCTGGACCCTGCGGGTGCGCCCTGTCGTTTGTCGGAGCTGATCAAGGCCACGCAGCAGCGGGAGGGGGGCGGGGGGCCGCTCCCTTTCACACTCATCGTCGCCGGCTCGCACACCTGACCCCCGTTCCGGGCCAGTAAGCATGCTACTCACACACACACAGACAGACACCTATGAAGCAAGCCCGTGCGTACATGCGTCCGTCACGTGTCCGTCGTCCTCGTGTGTGGCGCATCGCATCGCATCAGTCGTTGATCGCCTTAGCGCTATCAAGATGGCCTGGGGGGAGAGGGTGGCGTTTGCGATGATATACATCAAGGAGGCGCACGCGGCGGACGTCTGGCCCATAGGCGATCACCTGACCATAGAGCGACCCAACGAACCCAAAAACAACGAGGACCGCATCAAGAGTAAGCCGCGCCATTAATGCACTGCACTGCACTGCTGGCCCCCTGTCTGTCTGTGAGTGTGTGTACGTTTGGCTGGTCCCTGGCCTGTGTATGTAGATGCTCGCGATTTCCTTGACGTGTTTGGCAACTTCACCTGGCCCGTGTACATCGACACCGTAGCCAATGAGTTCGAGAAGGAGTTTGCACCATGGCCGTTCCGGTGAGGGAATCAGTGGGTGTGGTGTGCGGTGGGAGGGAGGGAGTGCACCCATCCATCCATCCATCCGTCCATCCATCCACCATGCCGTATGTGTGTGATTTGGTCAGCTTCTACATCATCGACAGCAGCATGAAGGTCCTGTGGAAGGCCCAGCCCGTCGCAGGTACGGCCGTCAACAAACACAACACACACACACACACACACAAAGTATTAGAGGACACCATCTCCCTGCTTAAATGACTCAGTCCTGTCCTGTGCGGTGTGTGTGAATGTGTGTGTTGGTCTGTCAGATGAGTGCACCTACGACACGACGGACAACCCCAACGGCGTCGAGGGCAAGATCAAGGAGCTCCTCGCCGCACACACAGACACACAGCAGGGCCAGGCGACATCATAGCTAGCTGTACCTGCGCCATCCATCCATGTGAGAGTGTCTGAGAGAGGCAGAGGGAGGGAGGGGTGTGTGTATCTGGCGCGTCACGTCACGTGTGCCGTGTGTGCGTGAGGGCGTGGTGCGGTGTGGGTGTGTGCGGCGAGTGACGTGGCGGCGGTGAAAGCGCATTTCTGCGCAGCTGCCCCACTGAAGTGCTGCTGACTGCCCAGCCTGCCTGCCTGCTGCTGCTGCACGGACACATGTGAGTGGTGGCGTTGGACTCTCTTCTCTCTCCTCTGCCTGCATGCCTGCCTGCATGGCTGCGTGTGCGTGGCGTGGTGCTTTTTAGTTCCAGGTTGGTTCGTTTTTGCGTATCCATCTATCTATCTATGTATCGTGAGTGTGGGTGTGGTGGGTGTGCATTTGTTAGTGAGTGGGATGAGCGTGAGCGGACGGACAGCCAGAAGGTCTGTTTTTTCGCAGCAGATGGATGGCTGCAAGCTTACCGATGGATGCATGGATGTGTAATGCATGTCGATACTTGCAGACATAGAAATAAACAGGTGGACGGCCTGCCTGTCTGTCTGTCTGTCTGACCGGTGTGTGTTGTGCTGCCAGCAATGGGTGAATGGATGGACCTGAACGAACGAACGAATCAAAGAACGAACGAACGAATGGATGGATGAATGTGGAGAAGACACCGAAAAGACTGTCCGAAGCCAGCCAGCATCAGCATTGTGCTGGGTTGATTGATTGCAATGAAGTCAGTCAACCAACGATTCGATCGAACGGCCATTTTTGCCGATCGCCTGCCTATCTCTCTCTGAAAAACAACCATACCATCCATTGCCATGCATTGCCACCAACACCCAACTACAGCCAACCAGTCTCAACACACGCACAGCACATGGATGGATGGCATCTAAGCATTCTCCTCGTCACCCTCCTCAATGGTCTGGAACCGCACTCCGCCCACCACACTGCCGCCCAACCCCCACCCTCCCCCGTCTGCAGCACCACCACCAGCTGCTGCCGCTGCTGGACCACTACTCGATGCGCCGTTGCTGTGCGTGGGGTCTGTGGGTGAGGCGGATGCTGCGGCGGCGGCAGAACTGCTGCCAGTGCTGATGCGATACATTCATTACACAGACGCACACCACCATAGGTGAACGGGGGGGTGAATGTCTGAGTGTGTGTGTCTGAGTGTGTGTGTGTGTTGATCTCCCTCACCTGCTGCTGGTGGGTGTGTGGCTGGGGTGGTCTGGCTGAGGCATCCAAGCTAATGCCGGTGTCGACCTTCGCACCGGGTTGGTCACAAATCGCTGGCTCAGACTGGGCACTGATGTGGAATGGCAGACAACAACACAGACACAGACACAGATGTGGTGTGTCCGGTGTGCATGGGTGTCTCGTCTCATCGTAGGTACCTCCGAGGGCGTATATGGTTGCGGACAGGCAGACTCCCGAGTTGGCCTCCTGCATCGCAGTCGTCACGCAGTCGGTCGTCAGGAGACGGCCCCAGCCCTTGCCGCTCCCACTGATCCAATGATTGGCAGACAGACAGACAGACGTGTGTGTGTGCCTCATTCCTTTCTTTGTTTCCCTCTGTTTTCGCACGCACTTCTTGATGTCCGATCCTTGCATGTCGCACGTCTGCACACACAGCAAAGGCAGGCAGCCAATGACTGACTGAATGGATGGTCGGTTGTTCCCACTTGTGCCCCCCCCTCCCTCCCCCCCTCCCTCCTCAGTGACTGACTGACGCACCTTGAGTACGCGTACGTTGCCTGGGGCGTCATTGGCCATGACGCTGAGCTCCAGCACGAAACACGAGTGCACCGACGGGGCGACGAGCTTGCCCATGTTCTCCGAAAACCTCAGGTAAACGCCAAGATGCGATTCGTCAACGGCTCTCTCCTGCACACACACACACACACACACCGTCTGCGTGTGTCGGTGATGTGGTGTCGTGTGGTGGCTCGGCTGACCAGTGAGAGCTGCAGGCCGAATTCCCCCCAGTAGAAGAGCTCTGAGCGCAACTCGCCTGCACCACACCAGACACATACACGCGACACTCAGACGTCTGTCTGTCTGTCTGTCCATGTGTGTGTGTCCTTCCCCTCCCCCCTGGCTGACCTAGGTACGGTGGCAGGTCCGTGAACCAGCAGTGCACTGTGGCCGGCCCCTGCAGGTCTCTGGGCAGCATGATGCGGCCGCGACCACTCGACACGCCGTCCACATGCAAGGCTATCATGCCATACTCGTCAAACCAATCTGCATACACACACACACACACACACAAACGGGCACCAAGCAAGAACCGATCATCGACCGACCATCTGTGCACATGTGTTCCCCTTTCTTGCCGGCCACTCCACTTACAAGGGTAGTTCTGACGCACCATCTCAATGGACACACCACCTCCACTAGGCACCATGCCCACACCTGCATCGCCTCGACCGTCCTCCCCACCACCATCGCCCTCGGCCCCCTCGTCCCCACCCTCCCCCTCGCCGTCATCAGCTATCTCGCCCTCCTCGATCTCATCTCCCTCCTCCTCCTGCCCCCCACTGACGTCGCTCTTCTCACTGTCAGTGTCGGGGCAGGCGGCAGCCTTGATGAGGCCGATGGTGTCGGCCAGCTGGCGGTAGTGCGTCCGGTCGGATTGCGATCTGAAGTCGAAGGTGAATGACGGCCAGTAGGGCTCGGGGGCGAGGGTGAAGCGCCAGTCAAGCTCATCGGCATCAGCGGTGGCATCCTCAACATCGGCATCTGGCCGCTCCTGCTCACTCTCTTGGTGGGCCTGCTCGTGATCTTGCGTGTCGGCTGACAGAGATCCACGACATACAGAGATGGGAGGGAAGGCACACATGAATCAGAGGTGGAGGGGCATTGTGTGTGCTGTGTTGGTTCTGTTCTGTGTCGGTGTGGCTGGCTGCTCGCTCACCTTGTCGGTTCTCGCCGTCGCCGTCAGCACCTCCATCGTCCGCCTGCTGCTGCCCCTGCGGCGCCCCAGCTGGCCCACCCGGCAAGTCGTCACGTGTGCCCAAGTCATTGGAGTCATCCCCCTCCCCGCCATCACCCTCACCCTCCTCCCACTGGCCACCCTCAGCGATGAGTGCACGGGCCATCTTCCTCTCGTCGACCGCCCGTTGGTCCTCCTTGCCCATCATGCGTCTCTCACGACGGGCCTTCTTGCGGGCCATCCTGTCGATGCGCCACTGGTGGCGGTTGGGGTCCCACGATGTTTGGATGTACTCGGACCTTGCTGAGATGGACGGGGGGAGGCGCCAGCCGCCCACGTAGATCGGGCCGTCAGGATCGTCATCGCTGCTCTGCTCGTACTCGTGCGTGTCGTAGAACTCACGCTTGGCAATGGCCTCGGCCGACTCGACGATTGGCTTCTTGCGGGGGGGCGGGGGCAGGCCTGGTGGTGCAGGGGCTGGGGCTTTGGCAGACGGCTCACTGGGGCTGTGCAGAGGGGGCACACGGGGCGGCGACTCAGCGGGCGGCTGCCACTGCTGCACCTGGGAGACCTGGTCGAACCCCAACTCGGCTGCATACGGCAGTGCATAGGCCGATCCATAGGCTGCGGCGTAGGCTGCAGACGACGCGGCACAGGGCGACGCATATGAGGCATAGGAACCGGCCGAATAAGACGTAGCGTACGCCGATGAGTAAGACTGTGCGAAGGGGTCGGGCGGGAGGCTGCCCGTGAGGCCGGGGATGGGCAGCGGACCGGTCGAGTTGGTCTGGGCCTCGGTTGTGGCCATCTCCTTTGGCGGCTCCCGGGGCTGCTGCTGGTCTTCGACGACGGTCTGCATCTCCCTCTCACGCATGCGATCCTTCCGCGCCCTCTCCCACTCCTCGTGCCGTGCCAGCCGGGCCTTGAGGTCGTCTATCTGCTGCGTGAGCTCACACTTGAGCCTGTCGTTGTCGTGTTGCAGGCGCTGCTTCTCTTGCTGGAACATCTGCTGCTCCTCCTCTCGCTCAGCCAACTCGGCCAGCATGATCCTCTTCTGAGACTCCAGCTGAGCGATCAGGCCCTCCTTCTCCTGCTGCCGCTCCACCAAGACTGCACGCCTCTCCTGCTCGCGGGCTTCCTCGCTCTCGCGCCGCTCTTGTTCCCGTGCCTCCTCGGCGGCACGCCTCTCCTGCTCGCGGGCCTCCTCCGTGGCCTTCTTCTGGCGCTCCGCGTCCTCCCTCATCTGCTGGCGCTCCTGCTCCATCTGCTGCTTGAGGGCTCGGAGCTCGGCCTGCTTCTGCTGCTCTGCCTCCTCGCGCGCCTCGATGGCCTGGCTGAGAGAGAGGTTGGCGTCCTTGAGGGCCTGCTCGCGGGTCTCCACCTCCTCGTCGGCCTCACGCACCGCCTCCCGCACCCGCCGGTCGATCTCCTCCTCATCCATCACTCGCCGCCTGGCGGCCTGCGGACTGCCCACTCCCATCAGCTGGGCGCCCTCTCGGCCGGCCAACGCATGCACCGGCCCACGTGCACCCCTGACCCGCCCAGCGGCCGTGCTGCGCGACAGGCTGCTGGTGAAGCCTCTCCCTCGCGCCCCGATACGCTGCTGCAAATGGCTCATCTGCTGCTCGACCAGGTGCATGTCTGTCGACGGGTGTCTGTCGGGTGCGGGCACGGTGGACCGGTGGGATTGGCGCAGTGCGGTTGCGCCAGGCACGCTGGTGCGCGGGGGCGTGGGTGGCGGGGTGGGGCGGGAGAATGATCTCGTGGCTGGGCTGAAGGGAGTGGGCGGCTCGAGGGAGTCGGTCGAGCCACGCTGCGGGGCGGGGCGCTGCACGTTGCTGGCATGCTTCTTGTTTCCAGGCCGTGTGGACATGCCCGGGGAGAGCTCACGCTGCCGCACGCGAGTCGACCCGATCGTCGATGACCGCTGTTGCTCCAAAACGGGATTGATGAATGGCGCCTCACGACGGAGAGCCGAGAAGGGCTGCTGGGCTCTGCTGCCGCCTGCTGCTGCTGCCACTGCGGAAGCGGCCTGTTGGTCGTCGGTGAGAGGCGACGGCGGTTTGGGGGGCCCGGGTGATGCTGCTGGTGTCTTGGCTGAGATATTGGTGCCTGACGAGTTGGAGTGGGAGCGGATCTCCTTCTTGAGCTTCTTGACCTCCTCCACGAGCAGCTCTATGGCGATGGCCATCGGCAGAGCGTTCATGGCCGTCAGCGATATGGTGTTGAACTTCTGGCGGTAGGCGATGTGACGGGCCAGCATCTCGGTGGTGCTGCGATCTTCGCTCGCCACGCACAGCTGCCCGATGGCACGGACGGCGTGTGGGTCGGGCTCCATCTGCCGGTGGATCATCTCCCGCAAAACCCGACTCGCAAGCGCCATGTCAGCTGAGGGGTCCTTCAGCGTCGCCAACACTCGCGCCTGATGGATGGATGGATGGTACACAGATGAGGGAAAGGAACACACGACAAGCCCATCCACCCTTCCATCCATTGCGTCGTGTCGCCTCGCTTCTGTTGTGTACGTACCATCTGGTTCAAGGCCGTATCGCTCAACTCCTCCAGAGTCACGTCAGCGATCTCCCCCCTCCCCGCCCCTCCCCCCGACCCCCCTCCACGGGCGTCCTTCCAAACCGCTGCGATCGCTGCCTTCACCGGCTGAGCGAGAGGGTTCTCACCGCCCTCGGTGCACCTGAAGCGCTCGTAGTCGAGTTGGAGGCACCTCAGTGCAAAGGTCATCTCAACGGTGACCTCGGGACGTAAAGATGCCGTCCGAGGGTCGCGCACGTAGTTGACGAGCTCGTGGAAGACGGCAGCCTGCAGGGGAGGCTCGCCCGTCTTGAGGACGGCTGTGGCGAGAGAGTATTTCCGGTCCCGTTTGGCCCGCTGAATCATTGTGAGAGCCAGGGCCTTAACGTCGTGCCCGTTGCCGCTCGGTGGGGGTGCTGCGGTCCCTGACTGACCTGCAGGCACACAGACACAGACAGCAAGCCCAGAGGAACGTCTATCTGTGCAGAAGGCTGCTGCACGCCCTTTTTTCTCTCCCTCATGCAAAGGCAACTGCCTCCTTGTCACTGCCGACCGACTCTCTTGTCCCTCTGCGTTCGCGCACCTTCGGTGTGGGTGTGTGCTCCTGAACTCGCATTGCTGTTGCTGCTGTTCGCGTGTCCACTCAATGCCATGGCTGCAGGTGGTAGCTGTCCCTTTCGTTGCATTGGAGAGGCGAAAACTCAGCGGTGGCGCGATGGGGGCTTGTGTTTTAGGTTGGTTAAGAAAAACCAACTACAGCCTCATCAGAAGGTTGGTTTTAGGGCAGCTGTCGCGTGGGACTTTGCTCCCATGATTCCGAGAGGAGAGGCTGTGAGGCCGCCCCAGTGACCTGGGGATGAATGCAAAAACCAGCCAGCCGCCCTCTCGACCTTCTCGTCCAATCTGTCATCCTCAGCCAGCCTGTGGAAAGAACAAGACCACGACGTTGAAGAGAACGCAGCTGGACCAGGAGACCACATCACGGCCACAGCACATGGTGACTGCGAGAGACGAGCATCGGTCGCATCAGCCACGAGCACAGCCCCGACAGAAAAACAGACGGGCATCCCAATCCACCCCAGCAGCAAGGGAGACGCCGTAGGAGATGTCAACACAAGAGAGCCCTCCAGCGGTGAGCCGCGTCGTGAGGAGCGCGCGATAGCGGAATTAGTTACTGAATTCAGGTAAGTCATCAGACCAGGAAATATATCTCATACACGGATACAAATGACTGTCTCTCCTGTCTCCTGGCCTGTTCAGGGAGGCGGCAGGCTATGAGACAGGTGTCTATGAAGCCGCTCACGAAGAGTGGCCCACGACGCTCGAGTACAAGACGATTAACCACCCCGACGGCAGCACGGCAGAAGTGCTTGTCGGTGCCACGTTTCAGCCGGAGCCGCTTTGGATGACTAAGAGACGCGTTTTCATATTCACAATGCAGCAGCTAGCGAGAAATTCAGCCATCGCCATCGTACTCGTCGGCTGTACTAAGATGTATGCATACTGCTGTACGTCGAGCATCGTTGGGCCGGTGTCTGATGTATTTCGCCGCATTATATTGGTCCTCGCCTTACCTTTCTTCGCCGTGCACATCACGGACGGGACCGACTGGCAAAAAATGATATCGCGGCTGAAGAAGGAGTGGGTAACTTTTGTTCCAACAATGGCGCTCAGTCTCTTTACCTCGATTGATCATCAGCTTCATTCTGACAGCCAAGAAAGGAAAAAAATCATTACCCCGATCGTGTGGAGCTCAGCTTTTGCAGCCGTCTGTGTATACTTCCGTCGCGCTGCGGGGTCGCTGGGTATCAGGGCCAAGAGAGAGTATGTTCTAAAGGCCACAGCGCCTTTCGTGCTGGCGTACACAATGGGCCTAGTTTGCGTTTATGCCTTATCTCCAAAGTACGCTGCTGCAGCATCTACTGATAGGGATCGATTTTTTATGGCTGTCATATACCTGACCGTCTTCCTGCCCCCTATCGGACTCGTCAACAAACTTGTGCGGTCACTCAAAGTACGAATTGACGCACCGAGACACAGCCACAGAATGACAGCGGACTTTTTTCTCGTGATCCAATGTGTATTCAAGAGGGGCCCCCAACATGCAACTCGCTGCTTATTGCGATGCCAGCCATGGTGTGTGACGGTGCGGGTGCGATGGCCTGAGACCCCATGATAAGTCCTTGCATGGATCCATGCACCGTGTGTCAGACGTACATTCTCTTTCCGAGAATGCTCCAGTCCGAGGCCGTCAACCTGAGCAGCAAATTGGTCTACAGCGTCGTCATGTCGCTCTTCGACCTGATAATGGATATCTCGTCCCCCTATGGTGCATGCGTCAGCCATGAAAAGATGAGTGAGTTGTTCTCCAATCATTTTTGTTCCCTTTTGAGTGCATTTCAGCGATCCTGCTGTATCTGCGGGCCAAGAAGCTTGTCAAGGCTCGCTGCAAGAAAAGAACACCCACAGCTCATCCCCTGACTAGCATCGCGCTGGCCGCAACCAAGGAGGAGGCTGTCAGTGGACCACCCACGCACAAGGACAACGATGCTACGGAGAGGCAGCACGACAAGAGAAATGACAGCCATTTGCTGAGACGTCAAAGCTCCATTATGAGCGCAGCGCTCTCTCTCAGAGGCACAAAGCCGGGTCTCAGTCCGACTGGAGGGCTGCAGTCGGCCTTGGCGTCACTTGAAGTGTCTCCAAGGTACCTGAGGCCGTGACACATCATGATACACAGAGATACTATATTTATGCTCTTTTCTCCAAAGGTGCCTACGTTCGCTGTGCGACCAAATCCACATCTGGTCCAATTGCGAGTTGGTGGCGCTTCTCTTTACCAACCTGACTGTGCTCACGGCCCAAGCTTACGCAGGCGCACCATGGCAGCAGGTTGTGGAGGGAGGCATCGGTTTGGTGTTACTGGTGGCTATCGAGCAGCTATTCGAGCTGTGCGTGCTGTGTGTCATGATGAGATGGAACAACCTGCCCATGCTGACATCCACTCGTGAGAAAGGCGTTCTTCGCTCCAGGATCCTGATAGTGCTCATGGCCGCCACTTCCTTCCTGGTCAGGTGCACCTGTCGACTTCTTTCTCACTGCACTGCATGTGCCTCTTGTCTGTCTGTCTGTGTCTATATCCGTGTGTGCAGCATTTTCTCATGGCTGCCATTTCTCCACTTGTCTGTCCAGGGCGCAGTCAGCCGCACAGTTGCAAAGCCCCGACTTATCGGGCAATCGGAGTCGTCCGACCCGGCTGCTCTCTGCCCATATCTTTCTCCTTCCCTCTAGAATGAACGAATCGTGGGCCGGCTGCCATGCAGCGCCATGCTGGGCAGAGTCTTCGCAGATGTCTCGGGCAGGAAAGAGAGAAGCGTCTGGCTCATTTGACGTGTGTATCAAGGTGGCCCCTCACAATGGGATTGGAGGGAATTCGTATTGGAGGCGGGGCGAAGTAGGCCGTGGGTGGGGATCAATGGATGGGCACATAGGAGAGAAGAGCCTGGAATGGGTCATCTGTACATGTTTGTATTGGCCGTGCTGAGTGAGACATGCTGCTTTTCTTGAAGCCACTGCTGATTTGAAGTCGAAATGGCTGTGATCGGCTCGCGCACCGTAGGTAGACACGCACGGGCCATGCACTGGTCACGTTTGGATAAAGAGACACGCATCCATCCGTCTCTGGAAGAACCACCACACGCACGTCATCGGGCGCACATTACGGAAAACACGCAGCACTAGCAGCGAGAACTCTGTGTGTCAGAATGAACGGTATGTTTTCGTCCCCAGAAGGTAATGAATGAATTGGATGGATGAGACGAGAGAGAGACAGACATATCCCATACTGGTTCCCCTCCCCTCTTGTCTCGTCTCGTCTCTTGGCGTCTCGTTCCTAAGTCATCAAGTCATCCCTTGACGGCACACAACGACAGAAGGCATACACACACAGACACACACGAAGCCACGGCCAGGGGCCTCACGCCAGGCCAACGACCGACCGATGCGTCCATCCATCCATCCATGTATGTGTGCAAGCGTGTATCCATTGAGATAGAGCCAGAGAGAGGGGCGGAGCGGGGGGAGCATCGGCCGGCCAATGGGTAAATATCTACACAGACCCGCAGACCCGCAGACAGACCGCGGCAATTGACTGTCGGTATGTATATACATGACATACGCGCACAGCGGCAAAAACGTCGTGGCATGAGTGTCTTGTGTGTCGTATGCTGACGGACTCGTCGCATGGTCAACAACGTGGCATCTCATGGTCGATCGGTCAGGGCCAGCACTCATCAGTCAATCATCCACCACCCTCTCGCGCACACACGCATTATCGCAGGCAGGGTATATACATGAGAATCCTCACACGCACGTGAACGAGACACACACAGATCGAAAGCACGCAGCCACAGCACATAGCGACCGAGCGGCCGACTGTCAAGTCATACGTCAAAATGAATCATTCCGGGAAGCTCGAGGGTGTGCAAATAAAAGCAGACATGGGGCAGAGAGATGCATGGCATACACAAGATGCCCACCACGCTTGTAGATAGATAGATAGATAGATATGTACACAATTAAGTGTGGGTGCACACGGCCAAGATATGTGTGGCTTGACTCCATGCAGAGAGAGTCTGAATGGAGTGAGTGGGCTGCTCTCTCTGTACATGTGTGCTGTGCTGTGCTGTGCTGCTCAAAAGCCGCCCGACATACGTATCCGGGACACAACAGCGTGCATTGGTACCGGAGATGGCGCATGTAGACACGACAACTGTTCCACCACACTCATCAGTTCACGAGCAGTGTGCCGTCGGTCCGGCGGCACTGAGGCGAGAGATCCGTTCGTGTCGACACCACGCAATGAATCCACTCACTCACTCACACCCAGGCAGGCAGGCAGACAGTGTGTGTGTGTGTGTATATGTATAGATCATGTACACGTAGGCACCATGCATCTGTACACAACGCGTGCAGTGCAGCCGCGCCAGCACCGCACGTCACGCTGTGGTCCTTCCCTCCGCGACTGACTGACTGACTGACGCCCCCGTGGCCTGTCCGGCGACAACTAATCAATCAATCCATCCAATCACTCTCGGTTGCATATAATACATAGCCAGTCGATCACGCGTATCCCTACTATACCTGTCTCTACGCATACACATATGGGGCCACTCCTTCCGTCAACACCTTCCGTCAACAAACACACGACCAAAGTGTGACGGCCGATTCAACGCCATACATACGTGCAAATGCAGAATTTGCACAGCCCACCCACCGTGGTCACTCTCGAAAACAAAAACGAGACAGACGTCAGCCAGCTAGGCATGGCCATCACTTGACAGGCAGGCCTCTCTTGCGCCTAGCTTCGCTGCGGAGCTCAGGCCACTCCGAGCGTATCTCCTCTGTCATGCCCCCCTCCCACTCCTTGTGCAGGTGGCGAGAAACACACCGGGGGAAACGCAGGCCGAGATGGGCCAGAATGGCCTCCGGCAGCGACATGGTGTCATCCATCGACAAACGCGACGTGCAGACCCCCTCTAGAGATGCCATCGACACGAGGTCACGCAGACAACGAGGGAAGAGGCAGCCAAAGACGCGATACAGCTCGACACACTGACAGGAGCGACCGCCGGCTTTGTACACAGCCACGAAGCCACCCGCCAGCAGCCTGCCCTTGGCTGCCTGCAGGTCGCTTCGCAGCCGATCGACACAGAAGCAGTAGGCTGCTAAGCAGTGGAGAGCAATCGAGTCGAGAAATGGGCACTTGTCGATGGCCTCCAGACACACCGATAAGATGCCTGACACTCCAGGGCTGTTGTTGTGTATCTCTACACTGATCTTCTGAACTCGCTTCTCAATGCCTCTCTGACTCGCTCCTTCGCCCCCGCCCCCGGCCCCCCACAGCGACCACACACAGTTGAAGCTCAGACTGGTGTGCCGGCACTCGGCTTTCACGTGCAGTAGGGGACCTGTCTTGCTGCACGCACCGAGGCACAGAGGGAACAAAA